ATAGTCTCATCATTATTAATATTAATTTAAGTAGCTGCTGATGAATCATCACTGGATGTATAAGATATAAAAATACCTTTAAATAATAATAACATTATTAATAATGTTCTGACGAAGGGAAGGGTCGTGGACCCGAAACGTTGACTCACTTTCCTTTCTCCATAGATGCTGCCTGACTTGTTGAGTGTTCCCAGCCACCTCTGCTTTTGTTTCAGATTTCCAACATCTGTAGTATTTTGTGTTTTGTTTAAATAATAATAATTCATTTTCCTCACAGTTATAGGAGTTGCTCCTTCAAGATAATAATCAGAGTGAAGCTATAGGTCACTCAATCATATTAAACATTGACTGAAATGGATGACACAAAACAATTATGAACATGAACTATAACCTTTGCATCTCTTTGATTTTGTTCTTGATAAAGAGAGTCCCTCTTTGATTTACACCATATTCCATCCTTGCTTTTCCCAACACAGCTTCCCGTTACTGAGCCTTTGCCTTTGTGGAAAAGATCTTCCACAAAAGATTATGTTCTTTTAATGATCCTATTAATAATGTGATTAACTATCCTATTAATAATGCCATGCTTTGTGTGTTCTTTAAATTGACCACCTCATAAGTGTGTTAGACCCTCAGTGAAACACTTTCTTTGGGAGTGTTTATGTGTGACCATCAAAAAGAAAACAATAACCATAATTGATATAATCAGGAGAAAATACCTGAAAGTACAGTAACACAATAAGTTAACGTGTGAAGTGAATTTACTGAATAACTTGTTATTTGGGCAAACGTAGCAACTAATCTGAGACAACAATAAATAGCCCACCACCAACTGAGACCAATCACTGACTGGTCTGTTTTTTGGTGAATGAAAAGAACTGGACATCAATTACATAATTTAACATGTTATTGCTTGTCAGTTGCAATAAATCAGGGCGTCTGTAATTCCCTCTGTACATCTGTGTTTCTATATGACTTACGCATGGTGCATAATCACCCCTAAATCGTGTGTTAACAGGTAAAATGGGAATGTTTTTGCAGGGTCTGAGAAGGGACGTAGAAAGTGCATTAGAGAAGGGTGTAGGATATGTCAGACAGTTCTATAGAGAGTGGTACTGTGGTGTAGGATATAAGAGGAGATTGTGCATTTCATTTGCATCCTAGTACAGAGATTTAGTCGATGGCAGAGCAGAGGGTAAGACATCTCCACAAGCCAATAGCTGGCGGCTTGAATACTCTGTGCTCAGACATATGTTACATGAAGAATTAATAATCAGCAGAAGATTGGCAGCTGAATGTGTTAAGATAATAATTTCTACGAATGTGTGTTTACTTAAGAGTGTCAGTTTGTTGAAACTCCCCTTGTATAGTTTATTTACTTAATGAGGAAAGCAGAAATATAGANTTTTTTTACCAGTTTTCATGCTCTTAACTTCTTTATACATTCAGATTGTACTTCAGTTGTGTTGTCGAGGACTCTGTAGCCCTGTCTCTCCCTTCCTCGCACGCTGCAGAATTCTGAGGTGTTAATGTTCTTAGTGTGCAAAGAAATTGAGAGCCTAAAAACTCACACAATAGATATTCCCAAATTGGTTCCAATCCTTTTCCTTCCAAAGGAGCTTTGACTGCCTGTCCAGCAATTCTTTTTTACAATCTCCCTTTGCCACTGCCAGCTCCGTCCAGTTAGAAAGGTGCAAAAAAACCCCACAGGAATTATTATTAATCCAATAATAATAATAATAATCCTTGCATTTGATATAGCGCTTTTCATGTCTTTGAGACGTCTCAAAGCGCTTCACAGAATATAATGCAAAGTGAACTTATCTGCATTTGCTAACATTGCCAAGGGCTGTGCAATGCAAGGCTTGTGACCTCGAGCCAGCTTCAGCAAAAAAATACCCTGAAGATTGGTCATTGTTCTATTCCAGACAATCATTAAGAACTTAGTGCAGAGATGTAGGTGTTAGAACCCGATGTGCAACACAATGTCCTGACTGCAGTTCCCCACATGGTGAGTTAGGATTGTGGCTTTGTTATCAGGAGGCATCGTGTGAAGACTGACCACACAAGGAACGAGAGAAATCAGGGGGAGAAGTAACCACAGTCACAACTCTTTCCTGATAGTTTGTTTCGAGGTTGGCAAAAGGTCGCATTATCACCCACATGTCCTTGCAACCAGGGTTTAACCCAGTGTTGAGGAGCCCGACTTAAGATCAAGGGAACGGAGAAGATACTTTATAAAGAGGGAGACTTGCTCTACAACTCTCCTGTCCAAGGTCCTTGAACGAGTTGTCGCCTCCCAGCTGCGCTCTTTCCTCTCCACCCACTCATTATTCGAATCCCTTCAGTCGGGTTTCCGTGCTGCCCATAGCACAGAAACTGCCCTGGTCAAGGTCACCAATGACATCCTGACCATCTGTGACCAGGGCTCCCTCTGCCTCCTCGTCCTCCTCGACCTATCGGCAGCATTCGATACGGTCGACCACTCTATCCTCCTCCACCGCTTGTCCTCCCACCTCAACCTTCAAGGCCCTGTCCTTGAGTGGTTTAGGTCGTACCTCTCCCACCGTCTTCACTTTATTTCCACGAACGGCTTTTCCTCCACCCCCGCACTGTCTCGTGCGGTGTCCCTCAGGGCTCTGTCCTCGGTCCCCTCCTCTTCACCCTCTATATGCTCCCCTTGGTGACATCATCCGCAGAAACTGAGGCCCTCCTGATTGGCTCACGTCAGCGCCTCCGCACCTCAGGCGCTGACAGCATCAGCATCCAAGGCTGCACTCTCCACCTCTCAAAGCCATCAGGAACCTCGGGGTTCTGTTCGACCCTGAGCTGTCGCTGGGGAACTCCATCCCCCAGTGCCTTCGCCGCTTCCTCCCTTTCCTCCTTCAAGGCCGGTCTCAAGACCTTTCTCTTTGACCGTGCCTTCAGCTCCCCTCTCGCCTCTCTACCCTCTCCTCGCCCCCTCCCTTCCCTCCCCCTGACCATTTCCCCCCAATGCTCGGGTCCTGACCCAACTGTACAGCGCCTTGGGACGTCCTCCCGACGTGAAAGGCGCTCTGTAAATGTAATCTTGTTGTTGTTGTACAACAAAACATTACCGTATCCACCAGTGATCAGGACCAAACAGAACCAAAGCTCCTGATTTGTTGGAGCCTTCTTCTACCTACGCTGTATTATTACATATTTGCTATCTTTCACCTGAAATGCAATAGAAATAACAATCCTTGCATTTGATATGATAGTAATAATAATAATAGCACCTTAATCACATCTCAAAGCTTTTCACAGAATGTGAACTTCAGAGGATGCTATCTTATTCTTGTTACTGTGAATTTTTGCGTTTGTGGCTTTCAAACACTCTGGAGTTTGCGGCATAGATCACATCAGGGGCTTTCTGCTTCGCCACTCTTTTCAATAGAGTTTCCGTCATTACGAGAGAAAAAAAAGATTGAATAGATTTTGCAAATTTAAAGGCTACATTAAGCAAATTAGACAACACACCACACACAGGAAATACTTGTTAATAATGTACTGAAGGTCTATAGAGTCCTGTAGATCAGTGATTAGAGCACTCGCCTTGCAAGCGAGACACCTGGGTTCAATTCCAGGCAGGGCGAAACCTTGGGCAAGTTTCCTTACTCCACATGCCTAATAATAATCCCTCCAAAACAAAATAATAATAAATTGGTTATTTTCAATCTGTTTGTGGGACATTGCTGTGCGCAATTGGCTGCCCACAAATATACAGTCAATTCACTTTACAGCATATTCTGTGAGACGTCTAGAAGACGTGAAAAGCGCTACATCAAATGGAAGGATTATTATTATTTAAATTGCATTTTATGAGACTAAAATGGAAAAGTCAGATTTTTAAAAATTGCTGGTTGTATCTATTGTGGATGGTCAGTAAAGTACCACCTGCTGCCCATGACAAGTTGATGGCTCTGCTTGCCTTACACAGAGTAAATGGAACAACAAAATAGAAAGGTGAGCTCTTCCAAGAGTTACTCAGAGACATCCATATGCTCTGGGTCCAGTCAAAGCAATGAGGAACTTTGAAGTCTCGCACACAGCTGTCATTTCTTGTGTTCTGCTCTTTGACTAGAGTCAGGAACTCTGAGAATCGCACTGTTCAATTATTTCATCGTATGTCATTGCCTCAGGGAGCCAAAAATGCTAATTAAACCCAACAAATAGCTGAGTCACCACAAGAGCGCATTGTCAATTTTAAAACAGATCGCGGCTTTTATCTTAAGCCTTGGAGGGCTTGGCTACTATTTTTGCATCAAATTAAATGCTGTACATTCCTGGTTTATTTAGTGTCCATTACAAAAGGAGCTATAGTCTGTCAAATTACATAGCTTTCTTTTAGGAAATAACATTATGGGATATAGTACATAGGTAGTTCAGGACATATGTCCATGCGACCGCCTGGAAGGTGCAAGGAGAACTAGATGGACCTTGGAACAAAAACAGAAGTGGCTGGGAACACTCAGCAGATCAGGCAGCATCTATGGAGAAATTTCTGATGAAAGGTTGTGGACTCGAAACATTGACTCACTTTCCTTTCTCCATAGATGCTGCCTGACCTGCTGAGGGTTCCCAGCGCCTTCTGTTTTTGTTTCAGATTTCCAGCATCTGCAGTGTTTTGTGTTTAGATGGACCTTGGTCTTTCACAAACAGGAACTCCACAGAGCTCCACCACCATAGACATTACATTTCATACTAAACAACCAAGGAACTATGTGCAGTTACACAGCAAGAAACCTTCACACAGATGAACAAATAGATTTTCGCACAGTTGTACTAATTGGCTCTTTAATGTTAAATGAATATTATTCCTGCAATGGCCTCCAAGGAATTTCAGTGCGATATTTTGAGAGAAATCAAAGTGATTCTGCAGGGATTAATTAAGAATCATAAAATGCAAGTGTTTCAGCGTGCTGAAGAATGTTAGTCTTGTATTCATTTGTTTATTTTCTCTCTCTTATTTCTCTCAGGTGCATGGAAATGTTAGATCTGGTGATCCCACACAATCTGACTGGAAGCTTTGACTGCGCCAACAATCCAGAATACCACACCGCTCATATTACTAACCGCTCAGAAACATCAAATGGCAAAGAGGGTAAGGAAGCATTCATTGTTTTATCAGTGAGGAAACAAATAGACTTATCCAGGGCTAATGAGCCAAAGGTCGGCAAAAGATATATCATCAGCACTGAACATAGCAGAAAGTGTGACTCTCTGAGTTTTAACGTCAATAGTTCTAAAATAATTCAACCACAAATCACACAGTCACTCCACTTTACAGTCTTTCCTGGGAAGCGCTTTGAGACCTCCTCCTGACGTGAATGGCGATATACCCAATGTAAGGATTATTGTTATTATAACATATATGTTATGTGTGAGATATTGACGATAAACTACCAAAAGTATCTGCACAGCATGGCAACTGGTTCAGCCTGCACCGCCCTACCTGTTAGGGCTTTGGATTGCCTGTCTGAGTGACTGTCTGATATTACTGTACGTATCTCTAGAGCCAATGCAGCCCCAGTACAATACCGAGTGAATGCCAAAAATAAGTCAACCAGTAAATTACTAAGTGAACATGCTTATCTTTGTTCTAAAAAAAAATCCTCTCCCACTCCCCCACCCACTCCGCCTCAGGGATCAGCACCAATTCATCAAAAGACAAGAGAGGAGATATTTAGAAGAAAGTGAAGGGAAAAAGATATTTAGCTCAGGATTTGCTTTGGTTTCTGTCCATTCCTGCCTTGGCAATAAGTCATATCCCTTTTACTCCCTGTTGACTCAGGAAACTGTCTACTTCCTTTCTGAATGCTTGAAAGAATTCTGTATTCACACTGCTAAGTGTCAGTTCCCTTCTCTTAAGTTTAACAAAATCAAAATACGAGGCTGTTAATCCTTAAATTATATTGACCTCAAGGTTTCTTCAGATTATAATCATGTTGCTTGTTCCAGCACAAAGAATCTCTCAGTTTCTAACTCATTTATTGCGGGGAAAACGAGAGTAGATTGGTGTAAAAGTTCATCTGTGTCAATCTGCATGTTTGAGTCCTTACCGTGGTAACACAATCTGCACAACATCACGGTGGAAAGACAAAGGGAATATTCAATGTATTTGAAGGTTATCAAAGAGGCATCGTTTGTTCAACACCTCTGTATTCAACATGAGTTGATGAGAAAGGATTTTGTGGCCAACTCCAACAAAAGTCAAATCTTTAGTTAAAAGCCAAATTCCTCCATGGTGAGGTGTGAAGTGTTGCAACTTGCAATCCTCAGTGTACTTACCTGGAAGAGTTGTCTATTCAGAGAACTGAATGATTCACCGTCAGAAGCTATCATTCCTGCAACATTAGCTCCAGTACAGACTAGTCCAGAATCTTCAGCATGTGTCACATTGCCATTAGCACAACAGCTGATCACAGTATCATTCACACCAGTGTAAGTGTAGCTCCACAATCTGAGTTTTGTGGGTCCTCTGGGTGGCTGGCACACCTGGAATTCAATCCCGAGAACTCAAACCAGACAGAGTTCCACATGCGCATGGAAATGTCCTTTATCTGCAATGGAGAACACACTGTCTCCCCAGGGGGTTCCACCCTGTTTACCTAATTCCAGAGTATTGGGCGCAAGTGAGTAAGAACCAAGGCTTGGGTACCCAGAGTATGTATAGGGCTACATCTGGAGTTTACTTAGTTTAAACAACACCTTCTACTAAGCTTCCGGCTACTTGTCCAGCAAGCACTACACTACCTGTTAGGGCTTTGGTTTGAAGGGTTAACGGGAGCCGAGTGTGTAAGAATCCTAGCCCCTAGAGATTCAATCAGAAATACGGAAAGAGGCATTCAAATCTACTGGAATAAATAGCTAGTCTAGTGCTGATTTTAACCTTTCCACCTCACAGACAAAAATACCTCATTAAAGGTCTGGATTCCGATGGAAGACCGTAATCAAATAGAGGCAACACAGCGGGAAACTGTATTTAAACCAAAATAATAACTCAATCATAAAGACGCTGGATGTAATAGGTTTGCAGGACTGGAGAATGATAACATTTTATCTGATGAGAATTTCTTAAAGCTTCAGACGACATTAAAAAGAAAGGTAGCTGTGAGAAAAGGCCAATGATCCCTATCTAGCTCGGCCCTTCATGACGTAAAAACTAAAGCAAATTGAGCCAGTGAATTCCTTGTAACAAAAAGAAAAGAACAAGTTGGAAGAAAATAGTATATCAGTGCAATAGGTTTTAAAACAATCAACCCCTGTGCGACTGTAATAAATTATTCCATTTATATTGTGCCTTTCATGCATGAGAACGTCCGAAAACAACAAAGACGCCGCTGCTTGGCAGGTCAAAGAGAAACCACTGTCATACTTCCCTATCTGTTCCTGCCTAACTGTAGCCATCAAAGGAAAGCTCAGGTCAAAAACTTTCCATATACAGTGTTTCCCATTTCTTCAGCTGGTGACAGATATTGTGAATTAAAACACTTTTACTTCCGGCATTTCGGGTCTTTAGTTGAACTCAGGAGCCCCAATATTGTAACCTATCAGCTGTGGATCATGGCTGAGACGTGCAGAACTTGATAACTTTCTCACTGCATGCAAGAATTATTATTATATTATTATTAGATGCAGAAACAGGAAATCAATAGATAGATAGTTAGATGCTTGGGGAGGAAGGGTGTTGATAGATAGAGGGAAAAGGCTAGTAAGTGGGACTAAAAGGTCTGCCAAGATGTATTAAATAACCAAGTGATTCGTATCAGGTGAATGGTCTAATTCTTCTCCAATGTTTCTTGCACTTATCAGCTATATGTCATTTTCCGTGGCTGGCCTCAAGCGAAAAGGACAATGGTTGTGAAACTCATCTCTTTCCTCATGAAGAGAGTAAAACACTATTTGTGCCTGAAATGCATTTGTTTAAAAGTGATTGGTATCGTCGCTGTTCCTTTTGTTTTACACGCAAATAAAATGGTGTGAAATGTGCCCATTTGAGGGTTAATGAGGACCCGCGTGGGTTATGTCTGCTTCTCAGTTCGGCCGATTGGAAGACATTTTTCTCTGCACAAATTGACATGGTGCTATAAGTACATTCGCTGTGTTATTTTACAGAGAAAAAGGAAGTAGAAGAATGTAACAATCTGTTCAAAGAATTACTGGCAGCCGAGCTTGTTGAACAAGTTCCTGCAGGTACAATCCTCGCCATTGTTAGCGGAGGTTAACCAGAGGCCTTTTGGCACTTGGCAAAAACAACGCATTGTTATTCATGCAAGTTCATAAAAAAAATGAATTTTAATCGCCAGAAATGTGGCATGAAATCCAAACGTACCCTGCAACAGGCAGCAATTATGTTCAAATAAATTTAATCTGAGTGACCCAGCCCAAATCGCAGCTGAGGAAAGAGTGGATTTATTTGTGTGACCCAGCACAAATCCCAGTTGGGACAGAAACCGACTAATCCCAGTTACCCGGGCCAAATATAATTTTAAGAGAGAGAAAAAGAAAAGTTTGATCTTTGCAACGCATACACACACACCACACACACGCACACACCACACACACACAGTGCACACACCACACACACACAAAACGCACACACCACACACACACAACGCACACGCACACACACCACACACACACCACACACGAGAAAAGAATTCACACCAATTCCTTTTTAAAGGATTGGCACTCGTGGTCTTTTGCAGACACATGCATTTCATTTTAGGCACAAAAAAAAACATGTTGATCTATTTACGAGGTAAGAGATTTTGGTTTGTGCTCAATGTCTGAGCCCCGCCGTGGAATGGACTATGGGAGAGCAGGAAGAGACGTATCCAGGTGACCAAGGCCCTGAACTCCATCAACATCCTGTAATCAGCAAACCCAGACTGTTCTCTCTGTTCCCCAGTTTGGGTGCCCAGTCAGGACTGTGAAATGCTCTGGGATGTCCTCCCGACGTGAAAGGAGCTATCGATATAGATGTATTGTGTAGCACATCCTTTAGGCCTGTATCTGATCCTGAATGGAATCCCAATCTGAGCTGTTCCTAACCTGTTGATGTCTCTTCAAACAGACGCCCCACTTGTGGACCACAGCTACCAAGTGGCCACTGAGTGATTTTAAAAAACAAATGTCCCTTAACCTCCTTTTACTGATAATGATGTACTGTCTCCTGTACCTTCAGATCTCGCCATTCCCTTGCATTCCCTTATCTCTCAACTCTTCTCTTGTCTCACTGCTCTGCTCGCCACCGCCACTCAGCTAACCTGGACTTGCTGCACGACCCCACCCTCTATTTGGCCTTCATATCCTACGCCACTAAGTCTGGAATTCACTCCCTCTACCCCTCTGTCACAGCCCCTCTCTCTGTCTGTCGTTAAATTCTCCTCCTTTCAACGCTCCTTTGACCACCTCCTTATTACCCCCCCCTCCCCCTTTTATGCCTTGATCCAAAATCAGAGATACAATCCTGGGTATGTGAGACAGTGCCATCTAGGACATTGGAAGAACGAAGAGTTCTCCAGCGAGGAACTTGATTTCTTGTAGAACTATAAATCACATTGACGCACTTTTTTTTGTGATTGTGCTAAATCTGTAACCTTTTCAACATACCAAAGTATACGATTACATGTTGCAAGCCCAGTTCAGGTAAACTGACTCCCTATCTCACTCAACTCCCTGCTCCAGCTCATCCTCTCACCTGCCCCGAGTGTTGGTTGCTGCGTTCTTCAAAGGCTGCCAAAGTCAATCAGACATTTGTGGCCCCTTCAGGCAGGAGGGGACACCCTGAGATCAGTCATGGACCTGGAGCAGAAACATTATTATTGTAAACTTTTGCAAATGGGTGCATGTTCGTACAATTAAACAATTATGTGAAGATTATGGAATGACATTCAACATTGGCAGCAAGTGTAAACCCTCGCTGTCCAGCCTCTTCGTTACTGGGGCAGATGTCATAACAGTGAGGCGGGTGTGAATAAACAAGTGGCAGCCAATTGGGTTTTGTCAGGTCCTGGCGCCATGACAGAAAAAAACGTTTCAACACACGACTTGATTTATGGTTCTATTTTGCTTACAAGACAGCAAGCCACATTTGTGAGGAAGAACATAGCTGTGGTTTTTTTTGTTTGACTGTGTATTGTATTGTTAAGCAGGTGCCTGCAACACAACAATGGGACCAGTGTCAGTCTGAATCACTCTCGGCTCCACGTAAGAAGGTTTGTGGGTTCAAGCCTCATATCAGGACTTTGAACTCACATTCTAGGCTGAGGTTCCAATGCAACACTAGAGGTGTGCTGCATTGTCGGTTGTGTATGTCTTTCAGATGAGGTCAAACCGAGGTCCTGTTCAGATGGACTTTAAATATCCTCCCACACGATATGGAAAGTGGTGTCCTGGCCAACAAACCCCCAGATAAAATTTGTTATTCATTTCATGGCTGTTTGTGGGACATGGCTGTGCACAAATTGGCTGCTACATTTGCCTACAAATACACAGTCATATCACTTCACAGTAAAATCCTGCGAAGCGTTTTGAGAGGTCTCGACGACGTGATACATCAAATGCTAGCTTTATTATAATGACGGAATGAATGAAAAATAAAGTACAGCTTCCAAATCCTACGTCGGTTAATAATAATAATAAATAATAATAATAATGATTCACATCGTGAGGACATCTCAAAGTGCTTCGCAGGATTCACTGCAAAGTGTAGAGACCATATTTTTGAGCAAAGTACACCTCATTCAAAGAAAATAAAGACTTAGCTAGGTATCTGTTGGGCCCAGAACTGAAGGCTACAGGAGGAAGATTAGGCTGAGACGGTAACAAGTACAACACCAGGATAATGAGACATGTGTTGTCAGATCGAGGTGGGGTATAATGCATGGAGGGCATCTGGTTAGGGTTGATGAATGGCGATGTAGCAATGTTGTGTAGCCTTATCTGTTGACCTTTGGGGATGAGGAAGTACATGTGTAGACCCTTCTGTCTGGAGATTAAATGCAAGAGGTGGAATCAATGATCGAGCAGATTGAACTTGATGTCATTGATATAATCTCCCATTTTGTTTCACAGACAAATCAGAGTCAATGAGTAGCAGTGAGATTGCCTCCACAGCATTAGAACACTTCCCTGACACAGGTAAGATGACTGCACCACATCGGCCCTCCATTTTAGTTAATGTGTGTGCGCGTGTCGAAATAATAAAATCTATAATAATTTGGTGCAATAAGGTCTGTAACATGATACAGGGGTTGCGATAAAGTCACACACACTGCAGTCGGGTTTCCGCACTTACACTTCAGTTCGGCTCTCTCCAACGATACTGCAGTGCATTTCTCTCCACTATCACATGGCAGCCAGTTGTCTCTCCATCTCTCAAGTGACCAGAGGTCCTGAAATTGTACCTAGTCCTAGCCTCCCCTGCCAGTTTGCCTTGAAATTTCTGATCATGGAAATTGTGTGAGATTTTTAAATTCAGACTTTTCTTCAAGCCAGTTCTCTTTAAGATCTGCAGAAAACCCGACTTCCTGATTCGGATCGTCTTAATTCTTAAAATCTTCAGTCCAAATGGTCAGACGGGTTAAGTCAAGATCGTTTCTGATCAATGCACAGTGACACTGCAGTCACCAGCCAATACTCTGCAGTGATGCAGTTATTGAGCCTCGGAACAGTTACACAGCGGCTAAGCACGATATTAATCGGCAGGGAGTTTCTCGAAAAGATAAATCTCGGCTCGTCCAAAGAGCTGTCAAGACTGGAATTATGCCACGTCTAATTGAACAAATGAAGTTTAGCACAAGAACTAAACACGTTGCAGCTTTATGAATGATCTAGCCGTGACTGACAATCATAGCTCAGTCAGGTGCTTTATCTCACATGATTCAGTCCCCATTGACAGCCTCTGTTTATTGCAGTGTCCCACTCTGTCCATCATCCAGTAAAGGTGATACTGAAGCTCTCATTACAGGGGCTGCTAAGGTTACCGAACACACTGATCACCTCCATATTTTATTCAAAGGCACTCAGCATTATAGCCGGGTGCAGGAGTTGAAAGCAATTACTTTTCCAGTGGTCACCTTCTGAATGAGATCCATTCATTTGGACAACAAAAAAATGCTGATGTGAATTGAAACTGACAGTGAAAGCAAAATATTCTCTAGTGATTCACTGAATGTGGGGCACAGAAGGATTGTTAAACGGCGACACTCTAACATTATGGGGCTTGTAATATTATTTTCAGTCGGATTCCTTCTTACAAATGGCGATGTCTTCCGGTAAGCGGAAGTACATTAGCCTGACCTGCAGGAGCTCTTCCGTGCAATGACAACTTGCAGTTATAAAGCCACCTTTATGCAAGGAAACGTCTCAATGGGCTTCACACAGACAGTGCCAGAATTTACTTCCTGTGTGCATTTCCCAGGGTTCAATAGAATTGCTGAAGATTCCTTGTTCAGGAAAGCCATTAAGATACACTGCAATTTACACCACCTGGCATATGAGGAATTACATTATTGTAAATGTTCTGACATCAAAACATCCCCATTATTTCCCTGCAATTATGTTTCTAACATGATACAACAAACTGAACAAGAAAACACAGGGCTCCATTCATCCGTTACAATTCTCTCCCAATCACCTATCTCATGTAATTCTTCCTCAATTATCCACTGCTACCATTAACCAACTATCTATTCCCTGTAATTGACCCCAACTCTCTGTCATTAACTCGGTCTGTCCATCACTTGTATGTCTGTCTCCCCATTAGCCTCAGCATTCCGCTGACTGTATGTCACCTGTAATTGATCCCATTCTTGAATACAATAAATGACAATATAATTTCCACAAACAATTATGAAGTCACTTTAAAACTAGACTTGAAGAGAATGTATAGAGTGCATGCATTCAAAACACACACCACAGGAAAGACAACAGTTAGGATTCCCACTACTGTAGCTGAACCGGAAGCAGATCTCATAGCAACTTGGACTCTGTTTAAACTTACTGTTGTCCCTCTCCTTCTGTGATTCCTTCTTCACATGCGAGTTTACAGGGTGACTGTCAGCAGGTTATGGTTCCATTAGTGACATCAGAGCTGAGCTTAGTCCTGCCCTGCCTCAGTGTCCACACATGTGTCACTGAATAGAGATCACAGTCAGCAAATCTGGTTGATTTTCCCTGCTTCCTGTTCTGTGGTGTGGAAGCCAAACTGTCGTGCCTTGACTGCTCTTCCAGCTGGAATCAGTTAACACAGCACAGAGCAGGGACAGAATCCACCACCTTCTTGGTCTGTGACTCACGTCACACAGGGCAGCATTGGCCAAATGAACTTTATTTTTTACTCCAGTTTTCAGCCCAGTATGGATCTATAAAGAGCTCACTGCAAAGGTCTGTGGAGTATGATTTGCATTGCTGATCCCAATTCAGTGCAAGAAAAGAAAATGATATTCAAAGCTGTGAGTCGGAACCAATTGTGCTCCAACAGTCTTCATATTGTATTCGTCATCTGTGTTATTGTACATTTGATTTTGTTTGCTCATTGACTGTTTTAAATCCTGCAGCTAATAGCGGTGATATTTTCAGTAAAAGACAAGTACACCAGTATTCGCCCCAGATTTACACATCAAAGTAAGTGCTTTTCTCTTCTACTTGCATTGACCAATCAGATGAATGTACTTTATTGTGCGCAGGTTACGAAAAGGGTTTGAATGAATGGTGTTCAGGTTCGTATTTGCCTTTGGATTGTGTTTCCCACACCCACGACTGTGATCTATAATCCATTTTCTTTTCCAAAAAGGATTTCCTCTCTTTCGTTGCTTGAATATTTGGTTCAGAAGTTTGTGCTGGCCAGCTTATTGCCTAGTCTGCAATGGAGTCTTGCATACCTATCATCTTCGGGGCTGTGTGTGTTTGCTGATCTCACTTGAGGTGCTACAAAATAACTGAATGTCCCTGGACCTGGGGGGAGATATTCAATGTTCTTTGCTATCCGGTTCTTTCCCAACTGGATACCTTGAAGAATAGCTGGAATTCCCGGCTCCACAGTGCAGCACCAGGCAATGAGTTTAGGAGAGAGAAATGATGGAAATAGATGGGACGGCAAAACAAAAGATAAAAATATTTTCTGTCCTTGGTGTTTGTCTGAGGTCTGAAGGCGTCATCTTGGGCAGTTGTTCAAGAACTGACTTGTTGAGAGTGGGAGGCCACTTGTAAACACAGCAATGGGAGGCCTGCACTGTGTGTGAGGGAGTTAGGCCAGCAGCTGCCAATGGCAGGGGATTATTTAGCACCTTGACTGATGAAGTTATAATGGGGTTGTTACGCTCCCTCCTCCTCCTCTTTGAACCAGCCCATCATTTCTCAGCAACACGGTAAGACAATTAAGACACTTTTAAAGAACCCTCCCTCAGTCCAAGCCTGATCCTTGTACACACAGTCTCTCCTCTTCCCCCCCAAGCTGGTCATTTCTCATACTGATATTTACTACAGTCTGAGTCCATTGTTATAATGGTATTAATATCAAGTCACAATTAATACAATTTGCTATTGTCTCCTTTTGTCCCTGTTTTGCATCCAGTCCACCCTGAGCCTTGGCAAACGATGGGAGCTACATATTGAGCCTTGCATATTCAAGCTGCCAACAAATCTAATGCCTTTAACAGGCTTTTACAAGTGTAACACATGTACAGTGAGAGCACGGCTGGTTAATTTGGTGTGATTTTTATTTCTGTGAAATAGATCATACCCTCACATTGTTCCAACGCCAGCGTTCCACGCCATGGCGGCCTATGGACAAGCCCAGTACACAGCGGGGATACAGCAAGCTGCCGCCTATGCTACATATCCTCCACCAAGCCAACCCTATGGACTTCCCTCTTACAGTGAGTACTTACATTGTATCTCCAGTGAGTACACACACAGTGTATCTGTGGTGAGTACACATACAGTATATCTGTGGTGAGTACACATACAGTGTATCTGTGGTGAGTACACACACAGTGTATCTGTGGTGAGTACACACACAGTGTATCTGCAGGGAGTACACACACAGTGTATCTGTGGTGAGTACACACACAGTGTATCTGTGGTGAGTACACACACAGTGTATCTGTGGTGAGTACACACACAGTGTATCTGCAGGGAGTACACACACAGTGTATCTGTGGTGAGTACACACACAGTGTATCTGCAGGGAGTACACATTGTATTGGAAACCGCATTAGAACATTTGTTTGAAGCAATTTGCATTTCCACAAGACAAGCAAGGAAGGAATTCACAACAATAATAAGTGAGAAAGTTCCAATTTACCATCTGACCGTGGAAATCCTCACATAATGAATCTGGATGAGGTATTTCTGTCTGTGGTCTTTGAATTCAATGTTTCAAAGATGAATCAAAGATCTATAGAGATGATGGTAACTAAAGGGTAAAGTCGTTTTATGGTATTACTGGCCTTGAAATGTTAGTTTTATTTCCAGATATTTTCAGTGTTAAATTATGGAGATGAAATTAGGAAGTTGTAGTCACCGTGATATGAGAGCCCGAACCCAAGAAGCAGAGGACAGGTCCTGAACATTGCTGTCACTATAAAGAAGCAGAAATGCTGCTTATATTGATACTGACAATGTTGTGTGCTTTGTGATCAGGCATTAAAACAGAAGATGGGCTGAGCCAGGCTCACTCACCGGGTCAAACAGGATATCTAGGCTACGGTGCTAGTTTCAGCACACCTTCGCCAGGCCAAGCACCTTACAGCTACCAGATGCACGGTGAGTACAGCCTGGGGTTGGCCACTGGGTTGTTTAATAACTAGCGCTGAACTTTCAGTGACTGTATAATGGAATGGGCTCATTAAGTGCCACACAATTGAGCAATTCAGGCAGCGACATGGCTTCTTAATCATTATTTGTAGTCAAGTGGCCTTAGTTTGTGATCAGTCCGCCACTACCCTGCAGTACTAAAAGTTACATCATCACACACGCTGCCAAAACATTAGTATCAGCCTTTTGGGATGACAGCCATACATGCCTTGCCACCTGCTGGGTTATTACTGCAAGAGTTAACACAAAGCAATGAAACATTTCATGGCTAATTGCAAACAGATTAAAACAAACAAGAGTAAGGATGGTTTGGTTTTTCACCTCTAGTCACTCCACTAATACCCAATATAATTGATTTACGGCAATAGATGCCGGACTTTTTTTATAAAGTTTAAAATCTTGAAAGACACTTGTCTTATTTGATATCTGTATGAAAATGTCATTTATCAATCTATGTCACACATTGTCTGTGTCTATGTCTGTGTCTCTCTCTCTCTTTCTCCCTCCAAACATGTGCTCTGGAAATACTGACCCTGAAAGGAATTCACCCTCATTAATTTTCAAAAACGGCTTTCAAGATATGGTGTTAGGTTTTAAAATATTTAAAATCCTTCAACAACTGATAAGATCTAATGTACATGTTTTGCCCAGCTGTTGGTCCAAGGCACAGACACTTTGCCAGCAGTCAGTTTAGTGAAGTGCTAATTAGATATCTGTTTGGCTAATACTCTTTTCAAGCCTTTTAGCCAGGTTGCTTCGTGGATCAAAGTCATAGAGGATGAATAAAGAAATGTTAGTTAAATCCTGATAAATGAATAACTTACTCCACACGCCTAATAATAATCCCTCCAAAACAAAACAATAATAAATTGGTCATGTTCAATCCATGACTGTTTGTGGGACGCTGCTGTGCGCAATTGGCTGCCGCGTTTCACCCACAAATATACGGTCAATTCACTTTACAGTCTATTCTGTAAAGCACTTTGAGACGTCAAGAAGATGTGAAAAGCGCTATATCAAATGCAAGGATTATTATTATTATTATAACTGGCTTTCTGAGTCTTTCTACACTTCCAGTGGGATTATACTTGCACAATGGGATGGGGGAAAGAGATGGAAACAAACAACTTACAGCTCTATCAATACACCGATAGGTAAATGCACAGTGTGCTCTAATTCGTAAACCAGATAAGCGAGTTTAATCCTTGTCTGGGCTAAGTTAACAAATCTAACATTGATGCATACATACATGAGGGAGAAGAGAATAGTAATAATAATCCTTGCATTTGATACAGCGTCTTCGAGACGGCTCAAAGCGCTTCACAAAATATACTGGAAAGTGAATTGGCTGTATATTTTGTGGGTGAAATGAAGCAGCCAATTGCCGACAGCAGCGTCCCACAAACAGCGACCAAATCATCACTATTTAGAATAGAGGGGTGTAGGATAGGGGAATAGGAAAGGTGGGTGGGGATGGGTGAGGGGAGTATAAAAGGCTGGCACCGACTATTTGGCCAGAATGACCTGTTTCAATGCTGTAATGTGTCAGACATTTACTATTGAGTGGGCAGCTTTCCATATTTAATAATAATATTCCTTGCATTTGATATAGTGCTTTTCATGTCTTCTAGACATCTCAAAGCACTTCACAGAATATGCTGTAAAGTAAATTGACTGTATATTTGTGGGCGAACGCGGCAGCCAATTGCACACAGGAGTATCCCACAAATAGTCATGGATTGAAAATGACCAATTTATTATTGTTTTGTTTTGGAGGCATTATTATTAGTTGTGTGGAGTAAGAAAACTTGCCCAAGGTTTCGCCCTGCCTGGAATTAAAGCCAGGTGTCTCGCTTGCAAAGCGAGTGTCTAACCACTGAGCTACAGGACTCCACAAATTTTAGCCTTGATGAAACAGAAGTCAAAAAAGGCTGATGCCATCACAAATTCCATCTCTTCAAACAAAGAAACCTACTAAAACTGGTGTAAATTAATAAAACAGTGTTATAGTACAGTTTTATTTTAATTGGAATGAAATGTTAATAGATCAATGCTGCCCCATATAAAACCTCCAACCTCCCTAATAAATGTAACAAATCAAACATACTCAGTAAACATTTATATCCTAGCAAATCAAGGATCTCAAACAGCAGCTTAAACAGTCACCAGCCGGCTATTGTGGTACAGATCATAGGCTGTCTGGAAAATTCCTCATAAAAAGGCATTAATTCACAGCAATTGCGAAATGGTGGTGCAGAGTAAATTGAGAGAGAAAACCTTTTCTCTGAGTATGAAGCCTGGCTAGGAACCCAACAATCTGCAAGTAACGTTGGCCAAATTGTGAAATCCGTCTTTTTTTCCTCCCTCAGTATTTTGTTCAGAATTGACACCCACACCAACGCGAAAGTAATAATGGCCAACATGCCTCCACAATAGCCGGGTTAAATTAAACTCCCTTTGTGAGAGGCTGCCAAGGCACCAGGTGTGCAATGTCACAGTTAAGCACTTTCTGCTTTTCAATAATAACAGCTTCCAATTGTAAATGAAGGAGTGGAGACACTTTCCAAGGTGCTATTGTGGGTTCAAACCGTTGCGTTAGGGGAGAAAAACAAATTCTGATTTAATTTCACGGCGCCCATAAATAATGTATTTTCCAATAGATTGGCAATAAGGTGCTGGGAGATAAGGAGAATGAAGAACCCGGATTTCGCAATGTGGATCAATTAATATCAATAGACTCTCTGAGGGCTCTGAATAAGCTCTCTGAGACGCTACTCTGTGTAAAGGATGCTATATAAGTGCAAGTTGTTGTTGTAGAACTGGACTCATTTCTATTGGGGAAAACAAGCCAAAGATACAAAGGGAACATGATCCAGATCTTGAACTCAATGAAATGTCTGGGTGATGTGGACATAAGATGGCTGTAGGTACTTAGCTTAGAGAACTTGTCACTTTAGCCCTGCAAGTGCAGTCACATCTTGAATAAAAGGATCTATTGCTTTCTTCCATTTAATATGTTAGAACAGGGAGAACTTGATGCTTAATCTCTATCCATTCATTACCTTTTCTTATGCTTCTATTATACTCATCTGTGACAGAAATGTATCAAGTTCCTTTTATGAAACAAGTCATTAGGCTTAGTAATCATCGGTTGTTTTAATATCCTTGCATAGAATAATAATCACTCACTGCGTTCCATCCAAGGTGAGCAGAGTGGATCATTCCCCACTTATTAACCAGAACCGACAAGAAAAGGAAACTCCAATGTAATGGTTATCTACAAAACAATTTAGGTCCAAAACTTTGACTCATTGCCTCCAGGGATTTGACTCACAGAAGCTCTTACATGAACTCTCAGGCATTGTGTACAAATATGCATGACAGGATATACACCAACATGGCTAGAGTTGCACAATTTGCACACCTGAACAGTTTATTAACTAATCACTGGGTTACACTTTGGGGATTCTTAATGACCAGAGATCTGAGACTCACCGTCTTAACCTCGAGACCAACTGCCTTCGAAGTTTATATTGGAATTTTTAAAAATTCATACATTCGGTCAAAGTTTCCAGCGCCTTGGGATGTCCTCCCGACGTGAAAGGCGCTATATAAATGTAATCTTGTTGTTGTTTGGAAGCTGATTTTCCGCAGTTCTTAAAAAAGGATTGTATGAAACTGTTTCCGAACTCAAACTGAGTTTGAGAACTCCCTGAAACACTGCGCATTCTAAATCTGAAGACAACAGTCCTCGGGCCAAGACTAGGAGAATTCTAGCTGGAGGGTTTCTTCCTAATTTTGATATGGTCTCAAGCCATCGACAGCAGAATTCCCCCAAAAACTTTCAATTTCCTGAACAGTATTTGTAGGTACGATAATGAGCTCCTTCAAGAAACACATTTTTTCATAACTGGCAAAGTGCAGTTGATCTCATCTTGAAGACATTGGATCTTTCATTGATTGATTCTTCCGGCCTTGGTGGCCAAATATAAGGAAGCCGAACTTTTGATCAAGCACTCGGATAAAAGTGGACCCGCGGAGGGAAGTGTTTATGTCTCAGGTTCAAGGGTCATCCTTAATCGCTTCCTTCTTCTGTGTCGTTCTCTTACCCTTGACTCCAATGTTTCAAAAAAAATGTTATCTCGTTAAGTGTTGGCGCAACCAGTTAATCAGCAAAGCAAATGCAATAATTCTTTACTCTAAACATCTTCAGCAACAGGGTCCTCTTTGAGCTGGGAGAATGGGTCGTTCTGGGTTTGCAAAGCTCTGGTCAGCTGTTGTGGAGAGACTATTCCAGTCACAGGCCTCTATAGGGCACCATAAACACCTTTTCAGAACTAGGCAACAGGGCATAATCTCTCTAGATGGAGACGGTCCAAACTCATCCTAAATGCTTCCTTTCACCATTCACCCAGACAGACACACAGACAGACAGACACTCTGACACAGAGTCACAAACGTACATAACAGAGACACACATACACAGAACAACAGCTTACATTTGTATAGCGCCTTTCATGTCGGGAGGACATCTCAATGACAAATGTGTACATGCACTTATATGAGCACATGCAGGCCCACAAACAAGTTAACAAGGTCTCTCACCGAGACAAGTAAGTCAGGTCTGGGGGCTGGGGCTGTGGGGCTGGGGGGTGGTGTTTATACCCAGGCTCGGGCCGACATCTCCAGAGGTACCAGGTCACCTTGTAAAGAGACCTTTACAGCAAATTAACCTCTTGGAAGTCTGGCTGTGGGTCTACTAGGTTAGGGAGGAGAAGACAAGTCTTTCTCATGGGATCCATCAACCTCTCTCAGCAGGACTGTTTCAAACAGCTGAAACCTTCTTGTTTTTTTATGGGGAACCTTTAAGAACTCTACAATGTTGAACTCTGACCCTTGCAAAAAAAAAGTTTTTTTTTCCCCCCTACAAAGCAAAGTTCACATCGGAA